AACCTATTTTCTAGGTTAGCATCAAATACTGTAATTTCATAGGTAAAAACAGAAAAACACCCACAAAATGTGAGATCACTCAAGTACATGATGTGAACCAGCTATTACTTGCTGCCAAATCAATCTTTAACTCCAGTTTCTCTAGAAAACTGGGTTTTCTGTCATATAAAAGACTACATGAAAGGAAATGACCTAATTCACTCACACATGCTGTCATCTTCAGGCTGAGGATGTGCCTTTTTTACCAAGGCCTTCATATACCCTTTAGGAGAAAACAAGTGTTGGGAGAGAAAGAGATGATTTCTATAAAATCAAGTTCTACTTGGGCTGAGTTTAAGGCAAAGAGAGGCTGAATATGAAATTCAAAGCCAATGCATCACAGCATATTTTTCTCTCAAAATATTTTATGTACCAAAGTTTGCACAACATCTTGGCCATGCTAGCAAGCCTGTGTAAGGAGGTGTTTTGTGTTTCATAGCTAACAAAAGGGCAAAAAAAAATGTGGCGACAGCCAAATATTACTTCAATCATGAATTGAAAGAATGTGGATAGTAGAGTACATGGTAAGGCCCGTGGGACAGAACATTTAAAAATCTACAAAATTCCAAAAGAGAGCTTATCTCTTATTCTTTCCTCCATACCAGGGAACCTCCCTTCACCCCAGCACTAGTTTCAAATTTGGACAACCCTTAGGGCACTAGGGAGAAGTGTCCTAGAATATCTTTTTGTATTGTGAAGGAATGAAACTAAATTTAGCACAGTCCATCTGTTTGATTAGAGAGAGAAAGAGACATAGTTACATTTTCTTGGCATGCAGATCTTTTATAAATCTTAAAGAAGGGTGGTTTTCCAGTTTTGTCTGGAAATTATTTTGCAGTTCATCAATTCTGCCAACATTGAGCACTCTGTTCATTTCTTTTTCTTTATTTTCCTAAATACTTTTTAGTTTTTAGAAAATAGAAAACTGCGTAGCATATAGTGGATATTCAATAACATTTGTCAAATGCATTTGTGGATTTATAGATGCTTGGGTGACTAGGGTAGGCATTAGGAGATTTGAGTTTTAATCCTAAGGTACTGGTAAGTATTGTACCACTTAATGGGAATTATTATGCATTGCTTTTTACTGTCATAACTTTGGGTGAGTGTGCTTGTAGAGTGTATAGTTGGTGTATCTCATCTTCCCAGATAAACTATAAGCTGGTGATCTTAAACTCAAATGCCTACATGGGCCAGATAAGTAATAGAAATGAGGAAAATGGATGGGTATAATAAAATAATAAGTAGTGGAGATTGTGGTCAACTGGAGAGTATGAGGACCAACCTGTGTTTATAACATGATGGGAGCCAAACATCCCACATCTGTGGTCCAAGTCCACTTAACAGTGTGAGCTCTTTCACAAGGATAATTCTACCTAAAAAATCTCTGTAATATAAAAAAACACAAAATAAGCAAATAAGAAAAATATTAATAGCTCAAATTTATCAAACACCAACGAAGTGCCTGGCACTTTTAAATTTATTGGGTCTAATTTTATATCATTAACATAATTACCTTCATTTTAAAAATGAGGATACAAAGGTACAGTACTTACTAAATGTATATGGGTTGCTGTATGAGTAATTGGATGTTAATTGGATGTTAAATAAAAACAGCATAGCAAAGAACAAAGTATCAGAGCCCTAAGCTGATACTAACCCAGATGTTGGATGTTAAATAAAAACAGCATAGCAAAGAACAAAGTATCAGAGCCCTAAGCTGATACTAACCCAGATGAAAGAAGCACACCCTAAAAGATAGCCCATCAGAGAAGGACACCCCACACATCTTCTGGCATCTCCAAGTTGGAGGATAAAGGTAATTCCCCAAATCCATAGGTAGCTCATAATCTGCAACCCAACGGACCTCTATATTTCTGATAGAGTTGACACAGAACAGCTTTTGGCAATCTGCAAGGCCTGTCTCCTTTGCTTCATGCTATAAAACCAAACCAAACCAAACAAAACAAAGAAAGTAGACTATTGCTCCTATGTGTTAAAATAACTTTAACAATTATGAGCAGCTGTCCTTTATTAAGTGCTTTTTATGTGCAGGGCGTTGGATTATCTCCTCTAATTCTTAGAGGGACCCTATGAAATTGGTATTGTTATTGTTCTCTTTTTACAGTTAAGGAAATTGAGGCTTATAGAAGTGAGTTAACTTCTGCCAAATCACACAACTAATAAGTGCTAGAACTGGGTTCTGAACCAAGGCGGGCCTGTCTCCAGAGCTCAAGCTCTTGTCCACTGTATGGCCATGCAAAGAGAGGACCAAAAAGAAAAGTGCATTGAATTTCTACCTGTGTTTGTCAACCATTTTTTCAAAACATGAAATCCTCTTTTCAAAGTTTTGCATAAAACAACAAATTTTACCGTAGAAAAGAGCAGACTTTCTCTATTCTGGTTGAAGTAGAAAATGGAGGACCAAGCACTGCCTCAAATAGATTCTCTCTCACCTTGATTTCTTCCACCACCACCTAGTTGTCTTTACACTTCCCTGACCCTGCCTGTTTCTCCCTGTCACAGGCTCTGCTTCCCTGTCCTTAGTCTGGGTGGACCCAAAGCCTCAACCTTCAATCTTCCAGTTATTTCCTACTCTATTTGACCTCCAGGATGCCCAACTCACAGATCTTCATCTCCCACCATTCTCTTAATGACTCTCAAATGCTTGTTTCCAAGTTCACCTTCCTAGTGGCTTCCTAGTGGCTTGTAGGACACATGGGGTGAAATCTTTTCCAAGAGCCATGATGGATTTAAAGTTGAAAGAAATGACTGGTCATAGGAGTATAAATTTATCAGAACCCAGTTCTGGCCCTTATTAGTTGTGTGATTTGGCAGAAGTTAATTCACATCTATAAGCCTCAATTTCCTTATCTGTAAAATGAGAACAATAACAATACTGACTTCATAGGGTCCCTGTAAGAGTTAAGCTGCTCAGAGGATGTACCTTAGAGATGGCTCTTATTATTTCTAACTAACTGGTGAGGAGGCTCTCCCTGCCCTGGCCCCACTCCCCTGTCCTTCTCCCCAACACACTCCCTTCCACCCACCTGACTTGAGGATGCTCAGCCCTGAGGGGAGTGCTGCAAGAACAAATGTGTTGGCACAGGTTTAAAGTGCAAAAATCTTTCTTCACAATGCTTCCCGTCTCAGCTGAAAGGCAGTAGAATATAGACATTGAGAACTAGGGTTCTGGAGTCAGACCTGGCTTCTAATCCTCCTCTGCTACTTACAGCTATGAGATCTCTCTGAGCTCAGGTTTCTCATCTGCAAAATTAGGATAATAATACAAGTTCTTGCTCAGTGGGCAGAGTAAATGATATAAATCATGTAAAGCTCAGAGCACAGTGACTATCCTGTAATAAGCCTCAGTGGATGGTTATCCTTAGGATTAGTTTTAATTCCTTTGCTTACTTTGTTGTTTGCTTTTTAAAAATTTCTTTATTTTTTATTTTTTAATTGTACATATTTGTGGGTAACAGGGTGTTTTTTAATACATGCATCTATTGTACAATGATTCATTTAGGATAGATAGCACATCCATTACCTAAACATTTACCTTCTTTTTGAGGTGACCTTTTGAGGCTAGTGAGCTCTATAGCCCCAGGAATTACTAAAGCAAGACCAAGCTTCCCACATCCCCAGGCTTTGGGCAGCTCTGCAGACAACTAAAGAAATGGAAAGGGATAACAGGGAAGAGAATTTCCACAAATGGTGTACCTGCTACTACTACTCGTTAGACGCCATGGGAGTTGCTCTTTTTATGTCTTGTAACCTCACTCAGTCCAATTGGAGAATGACAGTTGGATTTTATTGCTTTCATGTATTCAGTGTTTCTCAAAGTGCATTGCCTGGATCAACAAGCATCAAAATCACCTGAGCAGGTACCCTGATCTATAACCTCAAAATCTCTGTGGCAAGGCCACGGCATCTGCATTATAACCTGCTTCCCAGATGACTGTCATCGAAGTGTGAGGATCTTTGGCTTAGTGCTTATATCACATAATCTAAACTCTGATTCTATATTTTCTTGTGTTTATACATGTAAGCATTCTCTCCCTTACTTAGGTGATAAATTCTCTAAGGTGAGGACCATGTTTTCTAGTCTTCTTGTAATCCTACTAGTGTACAGCTCAATCCTAAATATATCATTGGAAATTAATGAAAATACTTGACTGGGTTTAGCTTTCTGCTCTGTGGGGTGCTGATCTGTCAATGCCTAAAGATTGGTAGGGGCCTCAAATTAGAATGGCAATTAATCAATACCCAATGTTATTTAATATACAATGTAAGTTTTTAAACAATACTTTGTCATTGTCAGTGGGCTTGGTGTTCTTTTACTGGTTAATGCTCTGATATTCCTGAATTATTGACCATGGAACAAAATTAACAAGTCCCTGAGAAGTGAAGACCCTTCCAGTTTCAGAGTATTTGTAAAACAGAAACTCAGAGGCCTTCCTGCCTTTATATCACAGAAAACTGGGCAAGGCAAAATGCCTTCTGTCTAAAATGATTATTCGACTTTTAAACACTTAAATTGAAACATAATTTTCATGGCAGGATCAGTAATATACTATCCTTAGGGAAAAGGAAGGTATTGTTACTCTATGATGTGTTTGTTCCTGAGAAATTGAGAGGTTTGCCATATGTTTTTATGGTAGTTTTCTTTGAGGTTTCATAAACACCTTCTGGAATGTGGAGGTCCCAACATTAGAGTCATATGGGAGCTTTTCCAGGGCCCTAATGTCATTAACTCAGCTGCTTTGGTTGCTGCGATATACAATTATTTCTTCTACATTTAAAAGGCAATTCTCTGATCTCCAACCCATTAACCATGTTTGATCTTTAGCAAGATGAAAAATGTTTGGAATCTAAGCTTATGATCTTTGTGCTACATTTTTCTTCTTATAATTCACAGTAGCTTACCAATCCTCCCACCCCCCTTTCTCTTCTTTAGGATCAACACTCTGTGGTAGGCCAGAACACAGGCCCCAGTCCAAGTCCCAACCCCTGCTCAAATCCAAACACTGGAAGTGGTTACATGAACTCCCAGCAATCACTGTTGAATCAGCAATTGATGGGAAAGAAACAGACTCTACAGAGGCAGATTATGGAGCAGAAACAGCAACTTCTTCTCCAGCAGCAGATGCTGGTTGACGCGGTAAAACATTCTAATTTCTACTGCATGTACCTGTTGGCCCAACAGAGGGAGTTCATTTGTTTTCATTTCTGCTTTTACTGCCCTTTTCTCTGTGCCTACTTATGTGACAGCAACAAGATTGTCCTGGCTATAAGAGTGTCTAATTCCATACATTTAAAGTGCTGCGGGAAAAAAAAAAAAAAAACTTGATTTACCAGCTGCTGGATACTTGGAATGCATGGCACCTTGGCTAACTAGCCCTGCCCAGCCCAGGAATGTCTAGAATGACCAACATGGGCATGTGATTCAGGAAAAAGAAGCCAGTGTTGTTCCCCAGCCTCAAGGGTCAGAAATAGTGAATAGAACTTAAATCAACTCAAATCCAAACTAATTTAGAGATAAAAAGCTTTAAAAGCAGTTTTAAAAGCCAACATGGGGTATCAAAACTAAGACTTGACTTCCACAATAAATCATCTCAGAATGGAGGATGTGTTTTTTAAAAAATTGACCATAAATTTCACCATATTTAAGTGGCCTTTTAAGAAAGGCAATGCCATGTTTCCCACACATTACCCAAGCATTAACCTTTCCTCAATATTTGTGGACTTATCTTTTCTGTATTCTCAGACATACTCATACACTCAACAACTGATCCAAATCCTTGCTGCTTCCTAAGACCATGGTCTCATCTCCAATAGTTTTATTCTTTCCATTCAAGCTATTTGGCCAAATAAGAAAGGGGAAAAGTTAGTCATCTCCAGGTTAACAGAGCTTAGGTACACAGAAAAGTGAAAAGCAAAATCAAATCATTTTATACTCAAGGAGCTTTTTAGTAAAAGTCAGAAATGCAGGTGTGTGGTAAGTACTATAATTATGCAATAAATATCAATTTACAATGGGGATGCAGCTATAAACAAGACAGGCCCTCTTTTTGCCCTAAAGAAGCCTACTGCCCACTGGAGATGTCAAATGAATAGGTAATAGTAGTGTATGTGTTTAAATGCTCTGCTGTGGGAACTATTAGAAATGGTTTCAGAGACGAAGTTATATCTACCAAAGATCTGAAGGTGAAGTGGGAGATGAGGGAAGAGTAGGGGTTTATTCCAGCCAGAAGAACCAGAATATTCAAAGACCTAGAGACAATAAAAGATATGACATTGTCACATTTGCAAGGCATAGAGTGTGCACAAAGATAGGAAAGTAGGTCATTGGCAAGGAGGCCAGAAATGAGAGGGTGGAGGATCGAGCTTGATAGATCAGAGTATATATTGTATGAAAAGCAATGGAGAGGATTTTAAGGACCTAAGACACAGAAGTACTAGATTCAGATTTGCACTGTAGTAAAAGTTTAAAACATAGCAAGAAAAAATATAATGGAGAGAAATATTAAGTCCAGCCTGAAAAGATTGAGGATAGTCTCCCAAAAAAGGTAACATTTGACTTTAACTTTGAAGGACTGTAGGATTTCAATAGATAGAGTAGGTAGAGTCCACCGTTCTAGGTGGAGGAACCAAAAGGTGCAGCCTGGCTGTGTATTTGTTCATTTGAGATTATATTATGAAATATTCAATGCATAATGAACAGTATAAATAATAATATAACGATCATATATGTTTTTTAAGAAATGACAAATGGGATAAGTTTATGGTCCAGAGCATGTGAGGAGAAATAGTGAGAAATAAATTTATTTGACCTTAAATAAGAATAGCAAGAAATAAATTTACAGATAACCTTGAATCCTGCCCTAAAATGTTAAGGTAAAGGGGAGTCACTGACTGGATCACAAAGTGACACAACTGGTTTCTTCTACAAATCATAGTTTTAAAAATTCAGTCCTCCCACCTGTTCCTTCTCCCATCCTTTTTTTTTTTTTTTTTATTCCTTATAAACTAAATAGCTTAGGAAAAACAGGCAGCAGAAAATACAAACCATCTAAGATTGACTTACTAGGTACACTTTGATTACTCCCATTGATATTATTAATTCAATAAATTTTAACATGCAGAGGTTGAATTTCTGGATTTTCCGCTCTGACTAAAAGGCAAGGAAGTGGTAGTGTACACATTCCATGAGGGTCCTGGCCTGGCACTGGCCTAACTCCCACTGAGCCCCAGTTGAGTCACCACTGGGACAGGTGCAAAGGGAAGTGGCATAAGCTGTGAGAGATGAATGCAAATGAGGCTGCTGTTTCTGTGATTTTTATAAACCATTCACATTTCTCTTTGTTTGGACACCATTGAGGGTGCCTGTGCTTTTTAGCATATCCAGGAAGAAACAGCCTTTGATACCACTTTACATTAGCATATGCTTTGTAGTCGTTTGCAGTCAGTTGGCAAGGCCAGATAGGCGCCTAAATTGAGACATTTTCTCTTGAAAGTTTGTTATCCTTCCTCTTTATTATTCTCCCACCAGTGAAGTGCAAAGAAGAGAAATGAGTAGTACTTATTACAATGGACATCATAGTTACCAACACTTACTGTACACCTACTGTGTGCCAGGCATCATCATCTATACAATAGGAGTTTGAGGGAGGTTCTTTAATATCCACATCTCACATTTTTACAGATGGGAAAACTGAAGCAGGAGAGGTGTGTACTATAGCAGATGATTTCTACTTTAGGTTTTCAGGACCAAGTCATTGCATTATCATTAGACATTAGTTGGTAACCATTAGACATTAGTTGATAAATTAATGATATACAGAAGTAATCTCAGGGACAGCCTATACATTTACACTTGCATAGAATGGCAATGTCATTCCCTTGCAAAATGTAGCTGTTTCCATTCAGTATTGCAGTCTGGTCTTTGCTACTCTTCAGCGCCAAGTGACAACATGGCAATTCTATGTTCTGTCCATATGCAAGACCATTAAATCTAACTCATTTGTGAACAAGTAGTTTAAATAACTCAACTTTCCAGAGTTATACATATTAACCCTTTGAACAACCCAATTTTAGCCTTTGGGGGATAGAAAGTCAATGATTAGACTAAAGATACTTGAAAATTAATTCAGGGATGAAATCTAGTCTGTAATGGGGAATCAAGGGCCTGGTTATCACACAAAAAACACATACATACATACACATACATCCTGTCTTTTTCAATATAAACAGCAGAAACACCTAATTAGATAACAAAGAATGACAGATGCGTTGGGAAAAGAGAAGATTTCAGAATGTCTTATGCTTGGCATAAAAGTCAAAACTGTCAGCTTACACAGGGATGGTTGAACATCACCACATTTGGGTTCATGGAACATCTCAAGTTGTTTCTTAAACATTTAGGGTTTGGGAAAAACCAGAAAGAGTTTCACCAACCACTTTTTCCCTTAGTTTGTAAACCCATGTTTTAAAGAAATGTAATCCATATGTTTCTGATTCATTTACACTTAGCTCATCAAAATTGTGTTTTATATGAATTACTTGATGTCCAAAAGACTTTAAGTCTTTCAAGTTGTTTTTTTTTTTTTTTTTTTTTTAGAAACGATAATCTGAATTTAGTTTGTTGTTGTTCTAAGAACTTTCTTCCCTTTATAGTAAACTTATTCTATTTAAAAGGTTTGGAATTTGATGGGAAACTGAGAAACACATGGCTTAAATGAGTTCTAATTTAGGCAGTACACATTTGACTTCCAACTAATTTACTAATCTATCTATTACAAAGTTTCTTTTTTCTGTTTATTGATTTTTTTTCTCTAATTATTGTGTCTTCTCTCTACCTATGCCAATTATTTTTATCTTTGAAACAAAGGTTACTTTGGGATGCATACAAAGTTGCAGTGAAGCAATTCTAAAAACTTCCTGATCCATACTGAGAAAGAAAAAACAAGCAGCCCTGATGTCCAGAACTAATATGACACTCACGGCCAAGCCATTTAGTTCTCTGTTGGACATAATCTTAGAGAATATCAACCTCAGACAGGGTTACTGTGAAACCATGATAAAATGAGACAAAACAAGACACTTTATAATTTTGTCTAAAAACAGGCACAAACATGGTCACTGTGCAACACCAAAAATACCAAATATCCTCCTCTTTGGCTAAATGAGTGATAGCTAGTTCTTTACTCAATCATAGACTTGACCTCACTTTCTGACAGCTTCCAATCTAGAACAAATCTCCACTTCCTTAGACACTCCCTAAATCACTCAATCAAAGCCCAAATCCTATGATAGGTTCTCTCTAACACTCTCCTACTAAGACACCCCATGGTTTCCCATGATGTGCACTCTCTCTTGCCGCAACAAGTAATAAACCCAACAGGTGTGTTCCTGGTGGGCTTTGGCTGAGGGCACTGACAATATTAAAAGAATGTCCCTGTTTCCTCTCCTAGCTCCCAAACTCGCATATAACAAAAGTTGGCTGATTCCAAAAGGAAGGAAAGGGAGGAGCTTGGGAAATTTCTATGCTTTTAGAATTGAGCACTAAGAAACAGAGTAGCAAGAGGCTCTTGTATTGTATGACAGGAAACAGCCTGCGTTTTTGACTCAGGATTTTGTCTGTGTTCTACCACTGTGTGATGGTAGGTAAGTTACTTAGCCTAACTAAGCTTCCATTTCCTCATCTCTTAAGTGGAAATAATCATGAGGCGATAAAAAAGAGGTACAGGTTGAGTATCTCTTATCCTAAATGTTTGGGACCAGAATTGGTTCAGATTTCAGATTTTTTCAGATTTTGGAATATTTGCATAATCCAAAATGCTCAGATGTTGAAACATTTTGGATTTTGGGTTTTCACACCTGGGATGCTCAATCTGTAATAGGCATATAGTTCCTATAGGCATATAGTTCCTATACCAGTACCTGATAGGTTATCTCCTGTTATCTTCTCCTATCTAGGCTTGCCAGATTTAGCAAATAAAAATACAGAATACCCAGGTGTTCTATATTTTGTCTAGCTATGCTTTCCTTATTTCCTGGGACCAGAATTATATACATATAGGTACCAAAGTATATCAGGTGTGTTACAACGTAAACTGGAAATACCATCTCAAAAATCACAGAAATTTAGTTCTCATTAAAATCTAATTGCAAAATCAAAGAAATGAGAATAGTTACTAGACCCAAAACACATGTTAAATGTTATGGAGAAGTAGAAATTATATTTCCATGCAGGAAGTTTATTGAAATTGAAAAAAATTATCTCTGAAATCAAATCATGATTTGCAACCCATGACTGCAAAATTGTTCATAACAGCACATAAATTTTTACAAGTGAAAAAGTAACAGTACAATTAATATGTTTTCATCTATGCTTTCAAGGAGAAAATTGCTTCACAAGATCAGATAAACCGACATTTGACAAGGCCACCTCCAGATTATAAAGACCAAAGAAGAAATGTGGGCAGTATGCAGCCTGCTGCTCAGTATTCTGGTAAGTGTTCTTAAAAATTAATAAAAATCATCACTGAAAAAAAGGAAAGTTCAATTTTCAATATTTCTTTCCTCATCTCTTATTTGATTGTAACATCTTTCTTAGAATCTTTCACTAACTCTCATTTAGCTTTTAGATCAAGACCATACTTAAATATTTTTCAGCCCTTTCATTGGTTCTTCTTGCTTATTCCTGCCCTGTATTCCCATATTTCACTGCTCTCTGGATTACTTCTGAGAATTCAAAAAACCTAAATGTTTTCTAACTGCTGGGTTCAACCATTCTCCTAACCAACATCATATCTTGACCCAGGTAGTATCAGGTAAGCAGACATTTCTCCCTCTTAGTCACATGTGTAACTTGCTAAAGCCTAGTCTTTTTGTCTCATCTTTTGAGCCCATCTCCCTAAGGTTTCCCCTTCAAAGACGAATAGTCCTGCCACCGACAAATAATTGAGAAAGCAATTCTTTATGAAATTTCTCAAAAACAACAATGGTGGATCCCATTTTAATCACAAAACACTTCTTAATAGCTCTTTCAATATAAAATAGGCGGTAAGCACTACTCCCAAATCTCTCTCCTCCCACTCTCTGAACTCAAAAAGAACCTCTCCCAAACCCAGCCTCTGCTCCTGCCTTCTCCTATTCAGCATCTATTCAAGTCTCCTCTGCCTCAAATTCTCTGCACTTTCCCATGTAAGTTAAGCTTATCCTCTTGGGCTTCCCAAGTTCTGCTTTACCTGTTACTTTCATCTGTCCAGGAAACCATGAAGAAAATTCACTAAAGAATGAGAGTCTGTGAACACTACTATTTATTAATATTTTCTGGTCCTATTTATTGTAGTTTTAAATATATTGTCCTAATTTATTTAAACTCCTTCAAATGTACCAGATTGTTTCTCTCCACTAAAATAAGGAATGGGATATATGTACTCTACTTGGTAAGATTACTTTGCCTCAGAGAAAAAACAGGATTCTGTATTTGATTGTCCTCAAGGAAGTTGACTGACAAGATGGGGTTTATTTGGAACATGGCTTCTTATACCATATCCCATGAGTAGGCTTTGGGAAAGCTAGGAGCCCTTCGAAATATTATACAAAATTCAAGATGGATGTTTAGGTTTTTCTTTTCCCACTCATATAAAAGAATTGCATGGATAGTAGTCTAGGGCTTTTTTGGTGACTCCACAGTATTATCAGGAATCCAGGCTTCTTTTGTCTTGCTGCTCCATCTTCTTTAGTGTGTGGCTTCCATTCTAAGGGCTGCCTTGTGGCCACCTTATCACCAGCCTTCCTATCCATATTCCAGGTAGGAAGAGGGAAGAAAGGAAAAGGTGAAATGGCCTCTCAATGAGTCAGATTCCCTTTTCAAAGCAGTTGTCTTGGACTCCCACCTACCAACTTCTGCCTTTAGCCAGAATTTATTCATATGTGCCCCAACCCCACCCCGCCCTTCCAGCAGCAAGGAAGTTTGGAAAATGTGGCTTTTCAGCTAAGTGCATTGCTACAAAATCAAGGCTGTTTTTCTAATGAAGACTGGGAGGTTTTCCACAGTGCATATGGGCATTTTTTAAGGGTGGGGTCCTTAGCATACAACTGCTGACCCCCCAATGGGTAAGAATCACTGCTGTAGAGCATTGTACTTCCCATGTCTTCTGAGAATGAAATAGTGACAAAACACAGCACAGACTCCTTTATCATTTTTTATTTTAATCTTATTGCAATAATAATCACTTTTCCCAGAAGTTGATATTAGAAATGAAATATGAAAAGTATCTAGAACAGTTTTTATCACATAGTAGGAGCTTCTAAATGTTAACTGTTATTATTATTTTGTGATCCTCATGGAAATTCTCTCTATTCTGGTTTTTTAAAAATACTGCTGTCCTCACAAACCTTCTCAGGGCATGTTGTTAAAATACAGGGCACCTTACAGGGGATGTTTTCTAAACCTTCAAATTTTTTTCCACAGCAATTTCATAGTGTAAATTCCCTTACCATGAAACTTTCAGATACAAAGATCATGTTGCTTAACCTCATTAGCATTGTGTGTACTCTCAGTTGTTGTTCAGGTATCTCCTACCTGGCTCTGATCCCTCTTCATCAAACACTTACTGCCCACTACACAGTGCAGGGCCCTCTGCTAACACAAGAGGTACAAGGAGATACAAGAGACTGTTCCTGCCTTCAAGGGGTATGTGGACTAGTTGGGGACATATTTTAAGTAAACAGAAAGGCTAGCGTGTTCATCTTGCCTTTAGTCTTTCGGGTTGTATACCAGGCTAGATATCCTCAAGCAGCAGGGGACATTCTAAGATACAACTGCAGACATGCTGTGCTCATCCACTGACATTATGATATTCATATGTGTGTGTAGCTCTCTGTTTCTCAGTATCTCTGATTCTCTGAGCCTCCCTGCCTCTCTTCAGGAGCATACTTCATAAGAAAATCATTCTCCAAGTTTTCTCTTTGCTTCAAGCTCTCATTCATTCATTGATTCAAAAAATATCAATTGAATTTCTACTTTGTGCCATCTACTAGACTCAGGGAATATGAAGTGAACAGAACAGGTAAAAATTCCTTCCCTCATGGAACTTATCATCTAATAAGCACTTTTTTTTCTCTCTTTCTGGCACTCCGTTTTTGCCTCTCAAGATGTTTTTCATGATGACTTTAACCCCCCAAGTCAGGAAGATTTCAGTGTGTTGCTTAATCGCTGTCTATGTGTGGAGGCTTCCTATTCAGCAGCCTGTGTCTCAGGCACTGGATCCACATCCAACCAGTTATTGACAGGCATCTGTTTAACTGGCAGGCACTTCCAGGCTCTATGGATTGCCCAATACAAAGGCTAAGTGCTAAATGAAAGATTCAAAGGGCAAATGCTGCTGGAGAGAGGAGGCTGGAATAATAAGGGAAAGGTTAATGGAGGAGTTTGGGCCTTGGCCTGAGCCTTGAAGAAAAGACAGGGTCCAGCGAGCTAAGAGGGGCATCATATGAGAGTGAAATGGCATGAGTGAAGGCGGCTCATGGTGTGTTGGATAACAATGCCATAGTAACTACACCTCTGGGAGCAGAAGGATTTCTGTATGGAAATAATCACCAGAGCATGGATTATGTTGAATTCCAGATGTTTAAAGAGATGGTAATTTACCTTTTGGACACTGGGGAGCCTTGCATGTCAGCTTCTTGAATGAATTTGATGCAGATAAAAAAATGGGACATGATTTTCAAGGCCATAGGTTAGGAATATTAATGTAGTAGCCATGTATAGGATTCATCCACACTTTCTTATTTGGACCCTGGAGTAAACAGTAACACGGATTTCATGACAGCTGGCTAATCAAAGTTGTAGTCTTTGGACTTAGAACACAGTAAAGCCAATTCAAAATGGAAGATTGACTATCATCTCCTCTCAGTGATCTCAGAAGAGGAATAAAATAAAACCTAGAAAATAGAATCATTCTATTTTAGTCTTCTTTTTCTAATGTGTAAACTCTTGACCTTTTCACAAAGGAGTGACCTAGGGTGAAACTCCCCCGTAAAAGCTGTCTTATTCCTTTTATATAAAATGTTTAATGAGTATTTCTCTTAAGTGTTCTTAAACCCAAGAGCAGTTTCATAGTTGATAAGTTATTGAAAAGCATTTGTACAAGAAGAGATAACCTACTATTACGAACTAATAGAATTTTCTTCTTTTTCTTAGGTGGTTCATCAACAGTGAGTTTAAACTCTAATCAGGCTTTGGCAAACCCAGTTTCAACACACACCATTTTAACTTCAAATTCCAGTCTAATGTCTACTTCTCATGGGACAAGAATGCCATCATTATCCACAGCAGTTCAGAACCTAGGGATGTATGGAAATCTGCCTTGTAATCAACCTGGCACATACAGTGTCACTTCAGGAATGAATCAATTGACCCAGCAGAGAAACGCAAACCATTTGATAGCAAATCAAAACAATGCTCTGATGCCACGGCCACCTACCTTAGGGCCAAGTAATAATAACAATGTTGCCACTTTTGGAGCGGGAGCGGTTGGCAATTCACAACAATTGAGACCAAATATAACCCATAGTATGGCAAGCATACCAGCACAGAGAACATCAAATGTAATGATCACATCCAACACAACAGCACCAAACTGGGCCTCTCAAGAAGCAGCAACCAAACAGCAGGAAGCCCTGAAGTCCACAGGAGTTCGCTTCCCTACAGGTACACCTGCAGCCTATGCCCCAAATCAGTCATTGCAACAGGCAGTAGGTAGCCAGCAATTTCCCCAGAGGGCAGTGGCTCCTCCTAACCAGTTAACACCAGCAGTGCAGATGAGACCCATGAACCAAATGAGCCAAACATTAAATGGGCAAACCATGGGTCCTCTCAGGGGTCTGAATCTCAGACCCAATCAGCTAAGCACACAAATTTTGCCTAATTTGAATCAGTCAGGAACAGGGTTGAATCAGTCAAGGACAGGCATAAGCCAGCCGCCTTCCCTGACACCCAGCAATTTTCCTTCACCCAATCAAAGTTCCAGGGCTTTTCAAGGAACTGACCATGTCAGTGACTTAGCTTTTGACTTCCTCAGCCAACAGACTGATAACATGGGCCCTGCCCTAAACAGTGATGCTGATTTCATTGATTCTTTATTGAAGACAGAGCCTGGTAATGATGACTGGATGAAAGACATCAATCTTGATGAAATCTTGGGGAATAACTCCTGAAGGAGAAAGGGGAGACAATTTTCAAACTTCAAGCACTAAGAGGCAGTATTTTACAAGGACTCTGAAAAGACCAAACTGTTGACTTTCAAATGAGCTGCATGAAGATACCATGGCTTAAAAATGGAAAGCAGAAAGAAACTGTAGTGGTGAACATTTTGGTCTAAAATCTTGTTTTAAATCTCAAACCTGAAAGTAAAACATTGGGATCACTTTTCCCTGTCTGAACTCCAGGACACAGTATCCAATCTATCCAAACAGAACTGTGATGTTGATGTGTAATTAACTGTGTAAAATAGGCTTTCCAAGCTCCTTTTTCCCCCTGAAATTAAAGTAATAGAACTTGTAGCTTGTTTAAACCCCATGTCATAAGGTGGTACTAGTTCCAAGCAACAAGCAAAAAATTCCTTAATTTGCTCTAATAATCTGTGTGGTTTAATCTTTCCACTCTGTCTTTTCGTTTAATTTTCATAAAGCTTGCAGGATAGATTGAAATGTTATTGGTTTGTTTGGAGTAACTGAACAGTGTCCTAAGTAAAGGAAAGCCAGAGAACCTAGAAAACATCCAGTAGATTATAGAATTTCTTCCCTAGATTCACCCATTACTTTTGCAGTTTTCTCACATATCCTGTACTTCAGTGGAATGCTGCCTCTAGTGATGAAACAAGACTGTAGAGCTGTGTAACCTGGTTTTGGCTTTCACAACCAATTTCTGAATCCATTCCCAACCAAGTTTTAGATACAACCAAGACTAGACTTAATCATACTGAAATATTGGTGCACACCTGTCTGCATCAGATTTCACTTAAAAAAAAAACCCATTAGACATTGCTATGAGATTTATTTAGCCACAAAAAATCTGGGGTGTTGCTTATTGTGCTTATGCCCACTGTTTTGTTCCAAAGTTGAGTGAAATTGAGCCTTGTCCTCCCTACTTATTTTTATGACCAGAGTCTGGTTTGTAAGAAAAGGCAATTTGGAGATCAAAACTGAGATTAGAAGGTATCATGTTTTTGTTGGAGATAAGACTCAAGGGTGGCAAGTATAACTAGGTACAAATCTATTTCACAGGGTTTGAAGGAAAGCATGATTGAGAGGGAAAACAATCTGTCCCTTATTGGGCATATTATTTGGATTTGAGTGAACAGCTAAATAGAATGTAATCCATTAGTAGCGATCTATTCATTCTTCTGTCTCTGATGTGATGAATCATTGCCACATGCTAGATGGACCCTTCATATCCAGGTTTTCTTCCTCAGGGCTGAGCACTACATCAAAGAAAGAGTTTTTGTTGAGTAATTCAACCTTAGTGCTCACATACAGATCAGCTGTGAAATGGGGAAGACGTGTGCTGATTTGGAATGGATGCAAAATACCACTATCATTTTTCTAATTACAGAGGAACAAGGATATCTTCAACCCTTTCAGGTATACACTTACATGTTCAAATATCAAATTTAATTTAACTTAAGTCATTTAATAACCAAGTCTTTAAATATCTGTTCAAAAAAGAACACATTTTGATAGTGTGTTCTGTAAAGCTTTCTCCCAATCTTTAAAATGTCTAGAAGCACTCTCCTTTTTTACATTGTACCAACATCACTGGCCCAAAATCTTTTCTGTGCTAGCTTGTAAATATAAATAAATTACTTGTTTTGTAAACTTTTGTAAAGAATATTTTGGTAGAAATACTTAAAACATATTCTTTGGGTTATATTTATACATATGTGAAATAAATATACTATCAAAAGGTTATATTTTATACAAAAAGTAAATTGTTACCTTTTGTATGCTAATATACAAAGTTTTGTATAATATGATGGTTTATTTTTAGCTCTCCACTTAAACCATAGGTGGTCAAGTGGGAACTTTTAAAAACTATCAAGAGGCTTGTTAGACAAATTTATATACTGAAACCTCAATAAGAAAGCATTCCAGGTTTCAATCTTTTCCTTTTTTTCCTGTTCCCACATTATTTTTTAAAACCCATAGTTGTCTTATTTGATTATTGACTATTCTGCTGTGCACATTGTATTGGTCCTTGTTGCATGTCGTCTACTGTGTGTTTTTCCATTTTATAAAACAGTGTTTCTCCATGCAAAAAGAAAGAAAAAAAATGATGTACATATAAACACTTTTATTTTATGACTCCTCCATGTTACTGTATATATCTGCCAGCACTTCCTAGTTACACTCCTGTGATTCAGCTTATTTTTACCCTAACATAAATAGTATGTTTTGTAGTAGTTATCAAATTTAAGAGATAAAGCAATCAGAATGTTTGGATTTTCTTCTATATTAATGTGAATTTCATAATTAATGTCTATTTATTCAGCTATTCATTAAAATACAGGATTCTTTGGAAAAAATGGTGTAGTCTATAGTTTCTGTTTGTTGGCAGCCTATTACCAAAGATGACGTAATTTTCCTGAAAGCTGAGATAATGACAATTTGATAGACATATTTAGCCAAAACCTTAGGATTTACAACTTAAGAGCTATTGTAAGACAATCTTCTATTTATAGAAATAACAGACTACTTAATTGTTGGCATTGTTTATCATCCTGACATATACAGGAGATAGAAGTAATTTTTCTTTTTTTTAAGTAAAAGACTAGAAAACAATTTAAGCAAATAACTCATTCTTAGCTTTATGTAAAGCCCAATGAAGATAAATAACTCTGCTCTAAGTGAATGCACTAATATTACCCTCATTACTGTAACTGCATCCATAACTGTAAAGATTTCAACTTGTAAAACAAGCATTTTGTATTGTGTATAATTCCATGTGTTAAAAAAAAATAGTTTTAAAAAACTCAGAAGTGGTTCTCTTGTATGAAATCACATTTTCAGTCACCAATGATATTATTGCTCTATCACAGAAAGTTCTGAGAGCTATTAATAGTAATGGGAACTTAAAGTCAAATTTATTTTCTAGGAAGCTTCTAATACTAGTAAAATTGACTTGTTTCAGTGTTCTTTAGTTCACTTAGAAAGTTTGTATTAAAACTCTATATGCATAGCACTTACTAAATACTGGGGAAATACATCCTGATTCTCATGCACTGCAGGCATTTGGCTGGCCTGCTGTGTGGCATTTGGCCAGACCAGGCTGAGTGAACACAGGGCTAAGTAAACATAACCTGGCTGGTCATATTTACACACCCCTTCTTGAGAGTCCAGGAGGTTAAGAGAAAGATGGGCCTTTGTAGGAGGCAAGAGGAACTACTACAAATTCTTCTGTCCCACTGTCCAAATTTGTTGCTAGAGTTCCATTGTCCCTTTCCCTTCTGCCAAAAAAATTATGTGATGTTATCTTTTTCATTAGCATTATTAATGGAACAATAATAAAATTGACAATTTATATAGTCCCTGTCCCAAAGAGCCTGGAAGGTTAGATAGTAAACAAATAAAACTAATATCAGTAAAAAATAATATATGTACATACACACAAATTAAGAGAAAGAAATCTGTAATTCCAAAATTACCTGTGAATCCCAGTATGCAGCCATGAGAGACGAAATGGGACAGTAAAAGTGAGCACAAAGAGAGAAGAGCTCAGCCTGTTCTTACTCTGTGGTTGCCAAAGGCAAATTTTTAATCATTTTATCCATAATTTCCATTTCATATTTCTGTAACTATGTCTCCTTACCCCCCAAAAAGAGGATTTAGGGCTGAAGTAGCTCTATATTTATTTCTAATTCTAGAACTTTGTGATTTATTTTTTTCCAAAACTAAGTGGGAAATTAAGCAAAAAGCCTCAATAGCATCCTTTTCAAAATAAAGAAATCACTGGTCACTCAACCTTTTGAAAATTTTCAGGTTGTCAGTCAACTTTATTAAAAAGCAGATATTTCCTTTAAAATCAAATCACATGAAAGCAAGAGCTCATCATCGGTAGGCCAGAACTAGACTGTAGGCAAATGGACAGTGCAAATGTAGATGCCTGCTGACTACAAATCAAGCCCTGAAGATCAGTATGTGGGATGTAATATTAAATGTTCATTTTCCTGTGGGATCATAGAATTTCACTAAAAAAAAATTTGTCTGCTAGGGAGGATAAAACCAATATTTGGAATAGTATATGCCATTAGTTATATATTAATAAACTGTCATGAGTTATAAATGGTAGTGTAACATCTTTGAAATATTCTTCCTAACTTCCTGTAGTTGACAAAGTACAGGTATTGCCCTAGCATCAGCTTCATTGACAGCAATAATGTAAATAAAACTCCGTACCATGGGAATTAACAAAACATATTGGCCTTAGATTTTTAAAACCAAAAACTGTTGTCCCTGACCTGAATGCAGTAATATTGACAGAGAGCTTTTGTTTGAACTTCTCTTTTACCAAATTTAACTCATCTTTAGCTCCAAGATGTGTATGAATATACAGATGCTTTTTATAATACTTAGGATTCTTTCAACAAAAGGGAAGGAGGAAAAAAGGGAGAAAGAATGATATATAAAAAAGACTGCATAAATATATAGAAGCATCTTTCAGGGTTCTCTCAGCAAAAGGAGGGAAAAGGGAAGGGAGAAAGAAGGAAAGAAAATATGCTTCACATAAGCTTAGGGAAAGAAATTTGCTGGTTATCATAACCAAAACTTACAGGAGAAAGTTCTGGGGTTAGGCACAGCAGAATCCAGCTGCTCAACGATGTCATCAAGAATTAGTTCTTTCATGTTTCTCACCTTTGTGTCCCTGTGTCTTGGTTCCATTCTCAGTCATGTCCTGCCTTCATGGTGGCAAAGTGGTTGCTAGCAGCTCCAGACTTACATCCTCAAAACTGCACATCCAGCATAAACAAAAGTGAATGTTTCTCTTTCAAAAGACCTAAATTTGAATCTCACAACTTCCATTAGGGCATGCGCCATCCCTGAACAATCACTTCGGCCAGGGAAGTGTAGAGGTCTGACTGGCCAGGCTGAGTTAAGTGCCTGTCCCTGCAGACAGAGGTAGTGTTAATATTACCCAAACCATATGGACTGAGGGTGGAAAAGAGGTGGTTTCCCAAGGAAAATCAGGTTGTTATTGTAAGAAAAGAAGGAAATAAAAGAAATAGGTGTAAAATAAAACCAGGAATGTTTACTACCCTTTTCTGGCTGCCTATTTCCATAACACTGTTTTTCTCATATCTTCAATTTCAAATTCTCACTGTAATCCAAACACACTCACCTCCTCCTCCTCATAGGAAGTCAATCCAAATCTCATCTATTTACTGTATCCACCTTTTAGTCCAGCACATCTAGGTGAGGTAAACCCTCTTCTGCCAGGTTAAGATGGGCCAGCAACTTAAGCCCAAAAGATGTTTATTCACCCCCCAATGTATCCAATAAACATACAATTGTGGAGAGAGAACAAGATAACAGTACTAATGAGTTTTATTTGGAAGAGACACTGACTTATAGATCTCATCCTTCTGAACAATAAGAGTAAAGACTATTCTGCCTCTGAGCATTAAAATTAATGGTTGTAGAGGAGAGTCATTAGAAACTCTCCTCTTTCCCTAGGGTGCATTCCAGCTGCATTTTACAATGAGAATAACTGTCCCCTTCCTGAGGCAGTATGTTATATTAGGTGTTTGGGAGGGGCCCAGGGAATCAGACTTCTCTCAGGTCCCAGTCATACCTCCTGCTACAACTCCCATCTCTCTGATCTAGAGAGCAATAACTTTAGCTTAGGACCAAGAATTTAACTTTTCAAAAAGCATTAACTGATTTCTAATAGGGGAACAAAAACCACTTCAAATATTCCAAGTGTCAGAGAGACTTAATGCAAGGAATTGGTTACACAGGTGATGGACAAGCTGAGAAGCCAAACAGGATGGTGAGGACCATCGAGAAATGAGCAAGTGCGGGAAGTCACCACATCTCCTAGGATGCAAGGACAAAATGACAAGGAGCGAGGATCACTAAGCAGATGCTGCAGCAAGGACTGGCTTGTCTTATAGAAGCCATATCCAGTGAGGAGTTTCAGCTTCTAATAGAGATGCCACTAATGACAGAGAGGGCGCAGAAAGAATGCAATCCCCATTCCCCACCCCCACCCCCATCTTTTTCCACTTGCCAGGAATGTGTCTCATTTGCTGAACTCAGCTGGAATACAGTCTGGAGAGGTGCATTACATATTAGAGCAAAAAAAGGGCAAGGAATAAACCTTTCAATAAATAGGTCCAGGTCTGACAGAACAAACCAACAGATTACTGAACTCTTAGCCATCTTGTGTTGCTGACCTAGAGCAAAATGCAGCTTTCTTAGCAAAGCCTGATTTTCCTCCTTCTCAGCTTTCAGATACATTAACTTAATCTAAATTTGTCCATTTATTATAGAATTGTATCAATTAGGAAACTCCCACTGCAAGTACTTGAAACCCCAACTAACAGTGATTTAAACAGAGAAGGGTTGTTTAAATATTTCATTGACTCTAAGAAACACACATTTTTCATTTTTTCTTACCTGTAAAATTAGATCATCATTTACAATTGACATTAAGAGAAAGTATAAGATTATTGCATAAAATGGTCAGCATTTTTTTGATGTGTAGAATAATGGTTCGTCTTACCATCCATGGCATCTGAGATTTTCTGAAGTCAGTCTGAGAGGTCTTCAAAAGGTTTATGGAAGGATGAACATGCTAATAATAAATTTTTAAAAAGTTTTTTTTTAAGTTTATGGAAGGATTAGTATTATCTTTTAATTCTATTTTTCCACGAACTTTTTAAAGAACCCTTGTGTTTGTTTTATGCAACAAGGGGTCTGGTGGATAGTCCTGACCTAGTATAGTGGTCTAACAACGCTATCAGGTACACAGGCTATTTATTCCTTTCATCTCGGCCATGAGCACTCATAGAAGCCACCTTCTTCATTCTCATCACCTTATGGTGACGAGATGGTTACATAAACCTTATGTCTATGTTTCAAGTTATAAAAATTGGAAGAGAAAAATATGAAGGGCAAGAAATGTTGCCTATGGCAAGTCTTTACCTTTTCATTTGGGAAAGGTCATCCAACCCAAAGATTTGTAACTCTATCTCATCAGCCAAGATTGTGTTTTTAGCCTTTCATATTGTCAAGAGAGGCTGGATGTCAAGTATTTAGAATTATATCCTTTACAGTAGAGGGTGACAAGGGACGATGTGGTTGGAAATAATAGTAAGTAAAAGTATAAAGACCTACATGGGAATGATAAATATAAATTCAAGCTGTTAATTATCTTTGAGAGAACATACAGAAATGTGATTGGGAGAGTGTACATAGAGGGCTTAATTTTAATTGCATCATGCTATTTTCTTAGCTGGATGGACATTACATAGCTGTTATATTGTCGTTTTATGTTGGAAATAGTCGGAAATGAAAAGAAAACAAA